CGGCCGTTCGTTAACTGATATCCCTCCTTGTGTCAGGGTAGCCGCTCATCCTTGCTCAAGGTTAATAAATATATTTGTGGGGTTGGGCCAGGTCAATTCCATCCCTGATCCGGCCGGTTACTGGGTCCACCACAAGAGGTGTCAGTTGCATTCGCCACAATACGTACAATGGTGTTGCGACACGAACTTTGAAGGCTGATTATCTCTGCTCCATGGGTACAATTGAATCCAACTGAGTATGTTCTGGAGATATTATGTGTTCAAGCCCTATGAGACAAATTACAGCTTGGCCACAAGGCTGCAAATGAGGTTTCAAACGAAGCACTATGGCAGACATTTTGGCGGGTCGTTGGAACAACAGAGGAGTTGGGGCTCCACTGCATGATGCAGGAGGGCATTGCCCAAAGTTGATCCTGAGCTGGACAGGTTCCTATATCACAGTGGAAATTACACCCCAACTGACGCAGATGAGCTGAAAGACTTTGAGAGTGGATTTTCATCACAGCCCACTAATATATATATATACAGTTGTGCTCAAAACTACTCATAACCTTTGGAAAATAACATAATTTTCTAAATTCTTCATGTGTAAAAGCTGTTATGTTGGTACGTCCACTGACTACATCGTTTGTCTATTTGTTACAATACACAAACCACATGTGTGTCGGCTAAACTTCATTCGCATAATAATAGATACGGCCCGGTTTCCTTTTTGCTCCTGGTCAAAATTATCAGGTTTACATAGTCCTAAGTCTCTTCTTATTAGTCATTAATGTGACCTTTGTTTTTGATGACTACCTCAAGAGGGTTCCTATGAGTGTCCAGAAGCTTTTTGCATGTCTCCTATGGAATGTTGGCCCACTCTTTATTGGTAAAAGCCTCCAGTTTGGTCAGGTTTGATGGTCCTGGCCATCACTCTGGTCTTCAGCTCCCTCCACAGATTCTCCCTTGTATTTAGGTCAGGATTTTGACTTGGCCATTCCAGTACATGGACACCATTGTCCTTGAATCACTGCTTTACTACCTTGGCGGTGTACGAGTCATTGCCCTGCTGGTACGTACAATCAGGTCCAAGCTGGAGTTTCCCAGCAGATACTTTCACATTGTTATCAAGGATCTTGATATAATCCTCTTTTTTCATGATGCCCTGTATCCTAATGAGGTTCCTGCTGCCACTAGCCGAGAAGCAACCCCATAGCATTATGTTGCCACCACCATGCTTTATGGTTGGGACTGTGTTCTTCGGCTTGTGTACGCTTCCCCTTGCTTCCGCCAGACACAGGCAATATCCATGGGGCCAAACAACTCCATCTGGCTCATCAGCACACAGACTGATGACCAAAAGGTAGGATCTTGGTTCAGATGACAGATGTGCTCTAGCAAATGCCAGACGAACCTCTTTGTGTTTCTTCCTGAGTAGTGGTGTCTTCCTGGGCCTGTGTCCGTGGAGACCTCCTTTATGCAGTACTCGCTGGATGGTTGCCCGTGACACCTTCATCTCTGCCTTTTCAAGGGTATCAATTTGGGCCTTGATTCTGATCCGTGGGTTGATTTTTCTGGCGAGTCTAAAAGATATTTTGCACTTCCTGCCACGCCCATTGAGGTTTTTCAATGTGTTGAACCTCTCATGCTCCCTGATGGCGATATTCTGAACTGTTGAAACAGGGACCCCATATTGCTTGGAAAGTGCCTTGTAGCCTTTGCGTTCTTTATGGGCAAGCCTTTGCGTTCTTTACGGGCATTCACGATACGTTGGCATATATCCTCACCGAGCTCCTTCTTCTTGGCCATGGTGACGAGTAACTGAGAATGATCTGAAAACTTTTCTTCTTTTTATACTCTTTGGGGGAGATGGCATTTCATCAAAATCATCAGAAGGTATTTATTCTGTTGGAACATCTTGAAATAGCTTCACGCCAAAGATTCTTGCAGCCATAGAAAGTGAAAATAAGCAGTATAAATGAATTTTTTTCTCGGGTTTTTGTCTGGGGTATGAATGATTTGACAAGCAGCAAAAAAAGAAACCCGGGCCGTATATATTATCATGCAAAAGAAGTTTAGCCAACACACACGTGGGTTTGTGTATTACCAGAAGTAGACAACAGATTTAGTGGAAGTACCAACATAATAGCTTTTACAAATGAAGAATTTAGAAAATTATGTTATTTTCCAAAGGGTATGAATCATTCTGAGCACAACTGTATGTACTACTGCCGGGCCCACCGCTGTGTCTCGTGACCTTTAACCTGCCATGACCCTCTGCGCTTTGCGCCAACAGTTCGGTATTGGGGAAAGATCGCTAACCGTAAACCTTGACAATTGTATGGAACAAGGCATACCCTTATTTCAATGCAGTGACATCGTATCTAGTGTCTGAGGACTGAATTCGTCAGTGCCCTATGTGGTTCCAGGCGATTCACACACACCCAGTCTGAAAACGAGTACCCATAATCACTGGGCCGATTTTTTAAACCCTGGAGAGATAGGGCCTACACAAAGAACTGTAAAAACAAAAGTTAACAAAAGAACAAAGGTGACAAGAGCACACATTTGTCATTGGAAAATGCGCCAGCATGCATGAAGCCTTTAATTTGAAACAATCGGAATTCATTTCTTCTCTGGATGACTAAAATCAGTATTTCAAGTGTTCCATTTCAAAGGTCCAAGTTACATGTAGTTACTTAAATGATGTGACTTTTTCTTTTTGGTATTGTTAAAAATTTGCCAGAGTTAGCGTAACGTTAGAAGTAAATGCATGTAAGATGTTTATTTTTGTTTTATTTATCACAAGAAGGTCAACAATTGGGTTCTTAATTGGCAAGAAATCAACTTGGTGCATAATTTTTCAGGTAAATTATAACTTCACTTCCCATACTGAGCTGAATATTCATTGAGTCGTTAATGAAAATCAATATAAGTGCAACGTCCAAAATATAGTTTATACGAAACAACGTCCTGGAAACTAACACAGGTGGATCAGGACACATTACTTTCTGAATTTTTAATGTACAGCGCTTTGTGATGTCATTGGCATGGAAAGCGGTTTTTAAATTAATTCATTATTATTATTATTAAGAGCAGGAAAAATGACTTAAAATTTATGACAGCGGATTTCTTAATCATGACATCAACATGCACTTTCACCTATCCAGAAAGTGTCCAACTATTTTCTTCATTTCCTCCAACTATCTGTTGATGTCAATGTATAAATCATCCTAAATTAACATCTTATTTTGCCAAATTCCTTTTTACATAATTTAGCTGATGCTCTATCAAGGCATGACCATTCAAATATAATCCTAAGCATTTTGGCTGTTGGTCAAACCAGTGTTGTATTTCAGTCCATCACAAGTCCCTTCACAAGGTCAGGGTGAAGGACAAAGGAATGCTTTTGTCACAGCTCATTTGAATAGCTTGTGAATCGGCTTAAGACTGATAGACTTGTGATGGACTTATAGGGACACCTCATGGGCTCAAATACAACACTGAGTCAAATATAGATTGGTTTATAGTTACTGAGATCATTTGACATCAAGTGTCTATTTTCTATTTCTGTATATTGCACATCAAATAACTTTCAAAATAGTTTTTCTCACATCATGGATCAGGATTTGGACACAGAATGTAAAGAATAGTGTCATGGTATTAGGATATAAAAATCATTAAAAAACAATCGACTAAATGCAAACAAGGTAATGTTACTATATACTACAACATATATGTATATGAATAATTTCCATGGAATGAACATTAATCAAATGAAATTTCAGAAAATAATCAAAGAAATCTCTTTCAACACAACTTGAGACTGAAACAGAAAGTGTGCATGAGCTTTTGCAAATCCAATGCTAGCAAAATATCTCACTTAAATAATTCAACTAGAGCTTGGAGAAAGACTACTCAGAGTATTGTAAGTTTTGAGAGTGAACAGGATAATCTTTTCCTTGATAGAAGTGAAATCAGGAATGTTTTACAGCAGAGATTCTTATCAGCATCAAACAGAAATATCCCATGCTAAAAGGATTTATACATTTACCTGATAATATCTAGCTGAGTGTAGGCTACACATGATGTAATGTAACAAAATAACATTGATTATATCACGGCCCCCCAAACTTCTTAACTAAGCACATTAATGAAATGGACTGGGGGGGGGCGGATCTGCCCCTCTACAACATTTTTCCAGTATAGCCGAGTTTTGGACTAACTCTTTGCAGTCATTATGACAACGATATTGTAAGATCAAACATACCATTTTTGCACAGTGCACATCTTTCTGAAGAAGGTCAGCCCAAAATGTGTACTTTTTCCACTTTGGTGCTCAGTGCACCAGGCTGGCATGCTTGTTGCCTTGAACTTCAGATGTCCGTCACAACAAAACCATACGTCTGATTGAAATCAAACCTCACATTTGTAATGATAAGGAGCGTCTTTACATGCATGCAAAGGTACAAAAAATTGAATCTGGCGCAGCCAGGGTTTTAGAGGGGGGCAGTGCGCCAGGCTGGCATACTTGTTGCCTTGAACTTCAGCTGTCCGTCACAACAAAACCATATGTCTGATTGAAATCAAACTTCACATTTGTAATGATAAGGAGCGTCTTTACATGCATGCAAAGGTACAAAAAATTGAATCTGGCGCAGCCAGGGTTTTAGAGGGGGTTTAAATCCCCCCCCACTGTAAGATGGATCCAAATAACCCGGCTCTTTGAGTTGTTGAAACAAAAGAAACACACAATTCTCCCAGCAAAACCTCCTATATCACCATTCTCTGAGCATATGCTCCTTAAATTTAAGTCATCTTGTCTCTGTCCCTTCCTTATAGGGTGTATACTTTCTTTAAAATGACATCTTTTCAATGAAATCTTTAAAAATCCAGCAACCTTTCTTTACAAAGTTCATGGAGAATCAACCGTGGGAAGGTGTTTCTTTCTACAGAGGTCAAAGTATTTTTACCTGACAAACAGATCATAAGATTAATTATGTTGCGAGTGCATGAATGGGGGTGTGATTTGTTACTGTTTTGGGTCATTAAACTTTTAACTTGGTGATGACCACATGAGACTCGTGTCAGCAGGACTGATGTAAGAAAGCATTTCATGAAACAGTGAAATTGAAAGGAAATACACTCTTTTAAGTAGCAAAAAAGGCCACTCTGTTTCTGGAAAAATATCTTTATCGCTTTTATGGCACTTGCAATGATATACAGATCCAATTTGAAGCCAAGTAATGTGCCTTAATCTGTTGTGATTTAACTGCCTTTTATACTATGTTGACTTAAACGAAGTAATTGAAATTAAAACAGCATAAGAACGATGCATGAATTGATTTAGCTGCATAATGTTCTAGTATAAACCACAAAAGTAGTTCCTTTGCACTGCTTTTATTAAAGGAACACAATACTTGGTGTCCTGATTTACTGGTGATTCCTATCCAAACTGGACACCCAGTTCATACATTATTTCATTTATTTTTCTCATATTTACCGCAGAATAACAATTTTGTGTATATTTTTAATACAGTGGTGTGAAAAGATCAAAAACTTGTACAGGATAAAACAATAATGATGTCTCCATGAAATGCCAGGCTGGATTCCTGTGGCACCACAAGCATTGATCCTGAATGAAGACAACTGTGACCAGTCTACTTTTTGTTTTTACTCTAACCATATCTCCAGCTGGTTCCCCTGATCATGACAAAGCTAGTCAATATCGTTAGTCGTTTAGTGAAGCAACAGTCGCCAGCCTCATTTTCTGGGACCCTGGGATACGACAGTGTTGCAGAAATGTTTCCTATGTGAAAGTACTGTAAATGTAATTATCACCAATGATTTCCCATTACTCACTATTATTGCACCAGCCCTGCGATGGTCTCCTGAATGAGTCAAGAGAGAGAAACAATGACTGGAACTTTCAATCGACATCAGTCTTGTCCTTCGATGCCTTGAAAAGAGTCTTCTCTAACTCTTTGCTGGTCATCATGATTGGCAAAGGAACATCATCCATGTTGGGTAGAACAAAAACTTTCTGCATTTTAAGGAGAGAAAAAATAATGGATGCTTTACAACCATAGTAGCTTGAAGGAAATTTCTGAATGACTCAGTAGATTTCTGACCATCTTGTTAGAAGTTTTCCTCATACCTGGAATTCTGTCTCTAGTTTCCTCTCGATGTAGTCCGTGATGTGAGTGAAATTGAATTGTCTGGTCCCCAGCTTTGGCTTTGCTGACAGCCAAAGGGAAGGTTTGCCTCGGAAGCCGTACCTGAGAAACAAAATACACAGTAACAGATCAATCAATTGTACTTGTTGGACAATGTCACTGACAACAAAAACAAGGTCCCTATGGCCAAGCGTGACTACAGTGAAAAAGAGATTGAAGGCTGCCCTGTCTTGCACTAGTTTCAACAGAACTTGAATTGGCCGACTAGAACAACAAAGGCAGAAAGAAACCCTTAAATTTTGAAGTATAACCTTAGTCACGCCCGATCTCACAAGATTCTATGTACTTTACACTACACCTCAAGGGTTAAGGTTGATTTGGATTGTTAAGTATGAGAATTACCTTCACATGAGCAAAGTACAAGTCTCATGCTCATTTGGTAAGGATCATCAACCCTTTTCTACAATGCACAGTATACAAATGAAGAATGAAGCTCACTTCCACTTGTGTACTAGCAACTAGCTTCTAATGTGATCCATAAAGCTTTCTATTTCTACTGAGGGAAAATTGATATATAACCAATGGAAGCTTGTTTTACTAAACCATGCGACAAAGAAGTCACTATTGTTTCTGACACTTCTTACACAGATTCTGCTTGGTTTAAACAGAGTAAAAGGGGCTACTCAAGTCAGCAGTGTTTCCCCTATGGTTATATATTCCTGCCACCCCAAACATTTTATACTTGTCAATAGGCATACAGGCTGTAATTGGAATGTAAGAGTGTTGATTTAATTGGTCCCAATAAATTTAAAGCCCCCATGATGTTAAATACATGTATAAAGAACAGATTGTGGAGTACTCCAGGCAAAATGTCAAACCATCAAGGAAACTCTGTTAATAACATGATGGTAACTTTTGGGTCCCCTGTACTGTATTTTGTGCTGTATACCTGTACATGTAGTGCTTTAGTTGACACGCGTATATTGGTTTGGTATGGTATTAATGAAAATGCACAGCAAGATACATGTAGCAAAAGAGTTCTTTTAAATGTTCTCCACAAATGCACATTTTCTATAGTACAGACAATTCACGCAATAACGTGTATTCTGTTCACTTTTTGGTGCTGAAGGACACAGATTACAGCTTAAAAGGATTATTCACTCACAAACAAGCCAAAAATGCACCAGAGAGAAATGAGAGCAAGGAGTACGACCAACTTTTTAAGTTAAAAAAATAATTGGAGTGAGGTTTAGACATAATATCGTACCAGTATGAATTAATAGGTACATGTATCTTCGTCATGAAAGCCACTCTTCGGTGCATAAATGGAAAATGCCATGTGGCTAGCTCACAGCCAACCAAGTTACAAAATCTGTCGGTAAGGTGTAATGTATTACACACAGAACAGTACCAGAATCTATCTGTTGGTGGGGGTGGAATGTTTACACACAGTGGTCCTGCAAGTCGTTTGACTTCGACTGTGAGTTCGACTGGTGTATTGGACACCTCGTCCATGGCTCTCTTGATATACTTGTTTTGGGTAGCACTTTGAAAATACTTGGAGCTGGCGATTTTGTTGACAATGCGCATCAGCTTGCCTGTGCTTTTGGATCTGAAACACAAAAGGCAGAATAAACCCTAAACTGAAGATTTTTGGCCAAAGAGGACAATAAGAAGCAGTGTAGTATAAATTAGACGAAACTAACTCAAAGATTCTATGAAATTTCACTTCAGAAATTCATCTCTCATTAAAAAACACAAAGATATTCCTGGAGATACCATTTGGATATGTCCTGATTGACCACTACTTTCCTGGGCAGTCAAACAGCACCCCCAAACCTTCAGGCACAAAGCAAACATGGAGGATCAGGTGAACTTCTTGTTTGTTTAACTCACGGTTCAGCTTCGGCACTCGGTGTGGTGGATTCCGGGGAGACAAAAGTCTCATCCGTTTCCTCATCCGAAGATTCAGCACTGTCTTCCTCTTCACTGTCCAATGCTGCCAGGGACGGAGTCCTGTTAAAAGATGGTTGGCAGATGTGGTAAATCACACAAGATGACTTTAATGCGAGGTGAGTTAAAGGGTATTAAGTTAACCTTGAGCAGCTGTCAGAAATATCAGACTGTTTACAAACATATGGTGTAGAAACCTGTTGTGCACGTGATGATGTGTGGAAATAATCATTCATCATGTTGTCACAGCTTCTGTTGATAAAATTGCTGTACAGTGCCGCATTCAATAGCACAGTACATGATGTTTGCCTTATGAGTGGGGTGTCTTTGTTGTATTCCAGCATCAGTCAACTTGATGAAGATGCCGATGAAGATGTATGTACACCATCATTGATGAAGGTATACCAGCATACATGAACAAGCCCTAGTTTCTTTCTGACACTAATTTGTGACCTGTTATCCAGTCTGTTTCTGTGCTTGAATACTACTAAATACAAAATTATACAAATGAGCTTGTTGCAGCTACCATGGGATTTGGCATACATGTATACTGAGAGTTCGCCTGAAACCTTGCCAAATCATCCGCTGTGCAGAGCACTGACGCACATTCTTCTAAGTGACTTTCATGAGGCATCATCAAGTCCCATGCAAAATAATTCTGACAGTGTTTCACCTACCAAAACCTGTGGGTGAATTCTGAAGGAGGGATATGGGTGAAGTTAAGCTAAAAACAAAGTTTCAAAATGACAGCACCAAGATCATCTGGCTTTTGATCAGCTGGGATACACTATGTATTTTCTTTTACTTAAAATACCGGTGCCTACCTCCCCCCCCCCAAAAAAAAACACAGCAAAATGAAACAAAGAACAAAGTAAACAGAAACATTGTCCATGATGGTTTTTGCTTGAGTAATGAATGACACTGTCCATGATGGTTTTTGCTTGTGTAATGAATGACACTGTCCATGATGGTTTTTGCTTGTGTAATGAATGACACTCAGCAGCATAATATTGGGAATGGATTTTATGTGATATCCAAGCAACATTGCAATTTACATGTGACTATTCATGTATCAAAAGGGCTGGGGGAGTAAACCCAACTTGAACTGAGCCACTTTCAATTACAAAACTTCAAAAACTAAACAAGGCTTTTTAAAAAAAGCAATCCCAAGACTTTTAGAAGCTGTTGATTCCATCCTGAACTGAACCATAATTTTCCTACTAAAACACCAAAAGCCTTCATAAAATCCACTAACGAATTCCAGCAAAATTGCTTTAAGTGACTTATTGCGTTTAAAAGTGACTTAGAAGTGCATTAAATTGCTCTTGTGAACATGACTTGACAGCTATGGAATGTTTATGTTAAAACATACAGGTGCGATATACAAATAAACTGTCAGTGTTTATTTTTCATGTACCACAAGCCCCTCTACCCACACAAAATTGTAATCATAATTTATGACATATTGTGATTTTTCAGTCTTTTTGAGGTTGAGGTGTATTGTGTCAGTTTGTGACTAGTTTTACCAATTGTGCCTTTAAAACATTGCATTCTGTAAGTTTTCAGTCTTTGATTGTTGTAATATACCAGTGGAAAGTAAATTTCTATGTCTTTTACATGGACTAATAATTATAAATGAATGAATGAAGGCATGAAAACTCTGTACCAATAACACTTGTTTTGCCTGCACATACATGAATAATATAACTGGTGATAGGCAGTAATCTTTACCCAGCACAAATACCTCAAATTCAAAGTTAGGGTTTCAGACTAGCTCTCACGTCATTGTTCAATGATGTGTGATGTATATGTAGCGGTCATGTTTCTGTACATGTTCAGGCATAGGCCCTTCTCTGCCACATCTACACAGACGTGGAAACTTGACAAATAAAGTACAAGTAGCCTATTAGGCTACAAATAGAGCCAAGTTTATGGCAACCGCTACAATTCAAGACGCCAATTCAAGGCCAGACTACAGATGTTGAGATGGCCTCAGCCTATTACAGTCATTTGCCAAAGTTTAAGACCACCTGGAATTTCATTGGTACTTCTCTCAATGGGCCGGTATTATATTGCCTCCTTGAATGATTACTTGGTCTTACAAAAGTGGTGCATAACATCAGTGTAGCGCTGTATGCCCATTCGAATGAAATTTTTTGCAAAGGCAGGTCTTGTATGACATTTTGTGTGTAAGGCAGCACGGGTGAAAAAAACCTGTGTAAGTAATAAGAAATAAAGGAGGGCACACTAAATACTAGACTGATCACATATCAAAGCATGGAAATGTAGTCAAATAGCTGTTTAATGAAGAATAAGGTTACACATTGAACACACAAGCTACATGACCGCGTATTCAGATGGTCTGGTTTCTGGTCTTGTAACCACATATGTTCATCCCTTCCACTTAGTTAATGCTTGAGGGTGCTACAAGCACAAGCCTCTTCAAAGAATGGTCAAAAGAGGAGTTCCACAAATGGCATGGATACATCTTTCTAGAAAACTCTACAGCATTCACTAAATTAGTATCTACTACATTGTCCATGGTGAATTGAATAATACATACTGTATGGTTGGACTAGCATTGGGTTTATTTCTCATCCTTTTCAAGTTTATTTCAAAGCGATAGGCCTACACAATTCTGTACACATCATTCTGGTAATCGTCGATGCATCCAGACAGATGCCCGGGGTAAACCTTGGCACACCGATTTTTTTCTCAATGCATGAGGTCACGTACATGTATGATCCCCGCAGGATGAATAGACTGGTTGCTGCACTCCGTCATGCATTCTTTTGCATAGGTGCATCGAGGCGGGAACCAGGGCTATGCACGTGTTTTTACCACAGCGACAGCAAAACGCAAAGACTACTTGTGAAACCATCAGAAGATGCTTTTCACATGTTGCAAATGTAACTGGGAACACATGCAAACACAGGCATTATAACAATAAAAGGGCTGTTCTGAGGTGTCTGTAATGACAGAAAAAAAACCCATTATTTATTTATTTATTTATTTGCTGTTCTTATATTTATTAATTTTGTTTTTTCTAAGTTGCCAATAAAAAATTTAAGTTCTTGCCGAAAAATTAGGGTCGGTCGGGAAATCCATCCTTCCTCCATGGGAAATCAAAAGCTTCGTTTTAGCCCTTGCAAGTTGGATTCTCCGACCGTTATTTGGTTAATATTTGTTGCACTTAGGCCCATGCCTCTGTTACTAAAGAACAAAATGAACGATAATCGGTGGGGTGAATGGGGATGGGGCAAAGTGGCATGGGGTGTAGTTGCATGGGGCAAAGTGGCATGGGGTGTAGTTGCATGGGGCAAAGTGGCATGGGGTGTAGTTGCATGGGGAGAAGTGGAAATAGGGCTAAGTGAGTGACACCCCCTGTACTCCATCAATGCACGTAAATGTATACTTGCACTACTACGGACAAATGATTATTGTGCAAAACAGTCCATTAACAATAACTTGAAAATACTACTGCTGTTTTTATCGGGTCTTAATACACAGGGCACTTTATTTCCTTTGTTTGGATAAACTGCAGAAGTTGTTTTAAAATGGGAAGGACCCTGGACATATTTTCTTCCGAATCTGATTGTGTTTATTTTATGTTAAATTACTATTTTAGAATTTCTTTCAAATTTTGTGCAACTGGA